TCTAGCACCAAATAAATATCTAGTGTTTAGAATATCTTACTTAAATGCAGTTTTTATTAAAACATAAATAAATAAAAGCACAATTGATTTTTTCTTCCTTTTCAGTGGCATGTGTTCCCCAGAACCTCAAAGCTAACGTGAGCTGCAGCAACAATGTGGCGTCTATGTCGTGGAACAACAGTAAGGGAGGACAGCTTTACAGTGTGATCGCGGTGGGTCCTAATGGCCTGGTGGACGAGTGCAGTTCGCCTGACAACAACTGTGAGCTGTCGAATCTGCAGTGCGGACAGTACTATACAGCCACCGTGACTGCTGATGACATACGGTGCCAGAGCAAACCAAGTAACAGCGTACAAATCAAGACAGGTGTGTCTCTAACGGCTGAGTGAAGAATAAGTTTTAAAAAGTCGACAACAGTTTTAAAAGTTTTCACAAAAATAACATTACTTATTTCCAAATGGTTCTCAAACTTCTGTCTGACAGATCAGTTGCAATTTTATACACTAAAAAGGGGGTTAATACTGATTACAGAAATTAAATAAACCGTATTCATTTTAAATTCTCTATCTTTTCTGCACAGTACCATGCACTCCTAGCAACACCTCCTCCAAGATGAGCTGTGAGTCAGACTCTTTGGTTGTTTCCTGGTCTAAGAGCGCTGGAGCTGATTCCTACATCGCCACGTTTCGGGACAGCTACGGCCAGCGAACCACCTGTCAGGGCACAACTGAAGGTTCGTGCAATGTGACAGGACTTGGCTGTGGTCAGGTCTACCACATCACTGTCGTCTCGGCTGATGGCTACTGTGAAAGCCCACCCACACCTGTGCTTGACACACCTTCAGGTAGGAGACATAGCATTTAAGAGTAGTAGGCTAGAAAAACTGTATATGAAAATAAATCAATGCAATGGCTGAAAAATAAAAGAAACAGTAATAAACAGTACGTCTAATGCCATGTCATAAAAATATTGTTTGTATTTTCTGTATATTACTCAGCTCCATGTAAAGCAAGACTAGTGAAGGCAAACATGGACGGCTACACGAAGACAGCCCAAGTGTCATGGAACCCGAGTGATGGAGGTTTGATGTACATGGTCTTGGCCAAAACAGCCTCAGGCCACAACGTCACCTGTAAGACCAACATGACCTCCTGTGATCTGGAAGGGCTGCTCTGTGGTCAGAGCTACACTGTGTCTGTGAAATCTATGGGAGAGACCTGCAGCAGCATCATAAACATGGCCGGAGCACTGATCACAGGTGAGCTGCACAGGAGCAAGGCTGTGAGAGCTCCAGGTGTTTGAACAAACAACTTCCTTAACAGTCCAGATAAAAACACAGTTTTCTGTTGGTGCAGTAGGACAGTTTTCTTTCACCCAGGTTAATATTTTTTAAGAGGTTGAATTATTATTATTATTTTTTTTTATTTAAATTTTATTTATGACTGTTAAGGAACAAATATTGCAAGGTCAAGGTCACTGTTCTTTACTGTCATTCGCATTGCATGCGGTACATGAGGTGGAATGAAATTGTGTACACAGGGTCCCAGTTGCATCCAACAAAAGTATAAATTGTAAAAGAAAAACAGTAATAAGATCCAAGATATGAACTAAGAAATATGCCAAACACTTAATAGTGCAGAAACAATACGCCGAACAACAGCAGCAGCAGTAGTATATACATTTTTATACAATACCGCTGCTGTTGTTCGGCGTATTGTTTCTGCACATATTTTTTGTTAGCTAAATACCGCTTTTTATTAAAAAGCAGTATTTAGCTAACAACAAATATTTCTATTGAAGAGCTGTTTTTAATCTTATTTACATACTTTTATCTGTTCTTTTTAAATAATCTAACAGTGATAACGATAAATGAAAATAATTTAATTCCTCTATATTCTAAACATTTTATACCCTTATCGAAAGGAGGACGCACTATGGTATAATCTCCGTCTGTTAATACGAATGTCTGTAAACTTCATCTTGTCCCACCTATAACTTCTGACCTGCTCAAGATAATTAAATGAAACCTTGTAGACAAAGGCATCATCACTAGATGGATTGTCACGTTTACGTTTCATCACCCCAGTTTCAAGGTCAAATGATACGCAAGGTTTTTGCTTGTTTGGGCCATAACTTCTGATCCACTCAAGATAATTAACCAAATTTGATGCCCTTTGGTACCACCATTAGATAGCATGTTGCATCATCTTTTCATCACTCCAGATTTAAGGTCAAGATCACAAATAAAGGTCAGAATTTATACAAGGTGTTTTGCATTTCCAGGCAATTTGTTGAATTGCTATATAATAAGTTTGTTGACAGGTGTATAATGTGACATTTGTGGCGCTCTTTTTTTTGTATTTATTCAAAAGAAAACATTTTGTAAAAAAAAAAATGTGTTCATAAAGTACTACCATAGAAATTTGCTAACAAATGATGATTTAATTTTAAAACTATTAAAGTTGTAATTATTTAGCCACCTTAAAAATACAGGACACATTTTTTTGATTATGTCATTCCACCACTTTCTTCCAGTCAGTCAATAAAATACTCACTGGATTACTTTTCTGCAACAACCTTTTATGAAGGTATTTGTGGTTGTTGATACAAGGAAATAGAATTATTTGACTCAGAGCTGAGTTTCATTGTAATTGCCTTTTTTTTTAACCTGCAGCTGTTTTATTTATGCACATCTCCATCCTCTTTTACAGAACCTTGCATCCCAAAAGACATCACCACTCACTACTTCATGACAATTGGCCAGGTGGAATGGGATGTGGCCACTGGTGCCGACTACTACACTGTTAATGGAGAAACAAGCCAGGGCCTAACAGTTTCCTGTAACACCAGTGATACTTCCTGTGCTTTACACAACATGAAATGTGGACAAATGTACGACATCACAGTCACAGCACACAACCGTGTGTTTGAATACGAGTCTGTCTCCACTGAAGCTGCCGTAATTATGACAGGTGAGAAAAAATACATTTTTGTATACATTTTTTTTTTTTGCAAAGCTAGTCCATTGCTTTTTGGGGGGAAAATTATATAGATATGTTTAAAAAACAAGAGTAAAAATGTGAATTTATTGATATAACATACACCATACCAACATATTACATTACAAAACATTACAGAATAGAATGTTTGTAATTTTGTTCAATATATCCCTTTTTGCCGCTTTAAAAATGCAGCCTTTGTGCATATGGATAAATGCAGATAATGTGCATTTCTAATTATTTGCAGTTTTTATGATACATGTGGCTTTGCAGGAAGCTTTACATTACCGTCTGCTTTGCATCATTCAGTCTATTCTGTCTTTTTATTATGTTTCTGCGATCAGAACCTTGTCTACCCAACAATGTGGAAACATATGTGAACTATGAGAAGGCTCAGGGAACCATATCATGGGAGGCCAGCTGGGGTGCTGAGAGCTATGTGGCTCAGCTGACAGGACAAGATGGCCACTCACTGACCTGCTCCAGTAACGATACATTCTGTAGCGTAGAGGGCCTCCACTGTGGGGTCACTTACAACACCACTGTTACTGCTATGGGAGAAACACTGAACAGCAACCCCTCACCAACTGTGCTGTTGGTTTCAGGTAATGTAGAATATACTGAAGTCAAAACCTGACAGAAAATTCAGATTTGAAGCTCCATTTGTTTGAAGAGTACTTCAGTTTTATTTCTTGTTCTCCGTCCTTAGCTCCCTGTGTAGCAAAGAATGTGGCAGTTCACCTGGACTGCCACAACAACACAGCTGAAGTCTCCTGGAGCTCAGCCACTGGAGCCAGCTCCTACAAGATGACTGCTATCTCAGCAGATGGCTTCCAGTCTTCGTGTGAGACAGATGGGAACCAGTGTGTTGCGACACAGCTACAGTGTGGTCAGATGTACAATGTCACCCTGACAAGCATCAACAACTACTGTCAGATTGACACAAACACTAATGTTATCTTCAACTCACGTAAGTCGAGAAAGAAAAATATTTCGTAAGAGCTGTTAGATGGACAAGAATGTGAAAACTTCTAAATTTATTCTGCTTTCACAACTGAAATAGCTCCATGTAATCGTTTTTTTAATAACTGAACTTGTTGTCTAGGTCCCTGTGAACCGTTGGACGTTGAAGTGGACCTACAGTGTGGTACGAGAACCGCCAACTTGTACTGGGAAAAAAAAGAAGGCGTAGAGCGCTACATAGCTACTGCCACCTCCAGCATGGGAGCGACTCTGAAATGCAACTCCACCAACGTCACTTGCCAATTCCCTGACTTGAAATGTGGGGAAAAGTACAAGTTCTCTGTAACTGCATACGTTAACACATGTTGTAGTGAAATCAGCAATACTGTGGAGATTCAAACAGGTATTTTAATTTGTTAGTATATAGTTTAGGCACTAATTGATTTTGGAGAAATGTTTGAGTGATGTTTTAAGAGATGTACTTATTGTGCATCTCAAATGCTGTGCAAAAACTACACAATGGCATAAAACAGCTAATCATAGCCTCAGCAGCGGAAAGAAACAGGATAAATGTCGATATAAAAACTGAGAAAGCTGAAAAACAAACAAACACAATGATTATTTATTTTCCAGAACCATGCCAGCCAACTGGTCTGATGGTCAGCGGATCGTGCCAAAATGATAATGTTAAACTGGACTGGTCTAAGCCTAAAGGGGCATCACTTTATGAGGTGACTATCAGTGGACACCTGGGGTACAGCGCATCTTTCCAAACCAATGATACAACAATAGAAACTGATCTGCCGTGTGGACAACGGTTCAATTTCACTGTCAAAGCTAAAGACGATCGATGTGACAGTGTTGTGAGTCCACCTGAAGAATACAATACAGGTGCATTTCTCTTTTATACTTTTTCCTTATGCCATTGTATATGTAATGGTAATTCAGCGATCTACAATCTCTTTAGGTCCGTGTATCCCGACGCAATTGGAGAGCTTCACACACTGTGAAGACAGTCTGGGTTCAGTCAAATGGGCTATGAGTGCAGAAGCAGAGGGGTACATGGCAATTGCAGTTGGAAAAGATGGCCACACCCATGGGTGCATAACAAACACTACCACCTGCACCTGGAATGACCTACGCTGTGGTGAAGTGTACACCGTTAACGTCATTGCATACGAATACACATGCAACAGTGTGCCGAGTAACAGCACAACAATTCGAATGGGTAAACAAGCTTTTACTCTATATAGTTAAAATAAATCCAATTTTAATACCTGCTGGGTATTTTAGAGAAACATGTAAAATTTTAAAAACTTTTAAAAGTTTCTGTAAGGAGAAAAGTACTATTGAATTTGCAATAATCTCCAGACTGTGATGCTAAAATGCTGGCATTGAACAAATCTTTTACACTTATTTAACCAAGATTCAGTTATGAAACATTTACCACATTTATTGGTATAAATATATAACATTTGCCTTCTCTTTTTAGCGCCTTGTATACCACAATATTTGAAATCATCTTTTAACTGCTCTACAAAGGTGAACATTATTTTGTTCCCCCAAAATACCTATCAAATGTTTTTAAAGTATATTGTGAAATAAACAAATTAGGTACGTGAATGACATTATTTTTGTTTTTTTAAAGGTGGGATCATTGAGTTGGAATGCGAGTGAAACGGCTGAGTTTTACATCGTAACTGCAGAAACCAACAATGGCCACGTAGTGAAGCTCAGCACCAACGATACGTGGACTTACATTTCAGAGTTTCACTGTGGTCAGGAGTATTTCCTGTCTGTTCAGGCAGTAGACGCAGTATGTACAAGTCGACCCAGTCAGGCTTCAATCCTTTTGTCAGGTACATTTCAATTGCATACCTCAAGATACGTTTTTTTTCAGCATTCACTGTTCTAAATGTTAAAGTAGTTTATATCATTTGAATGTAATAGTTGTTAGTGTTTCATTAACATATTTCACTTTACTTCCTCTCAGAGCCATGTAGGGCCACTAATGTCTCCAGCACCATGAACTGCATCACCAATATTGCTAGGGTGTCGTGGACCAGCTCTGCTGGGGCCCTGTTCTACACTGCCAAAATAACGACAATAGATGGTCAATCAAACAACTGCACCTCCCTCAGCAATCAGTGTGCCATGTCTAATGTCCCTTGTGGGCAGAACCATACAGTGACTGTCACTGCCTCAAACAAGATCTGTGTCTCTGAACCCAGTAAGGCTGACATACTGCAGTCAGGTAAGTTAAATGGTTTTAAAATCTCATCCTGAAAAATGAACTTCATAAATACCAAAAACATTTACATTTATATTAAATTTGTACATTAAATATTTATTTGATATTGATATTTATCTGCAAATTGGTTCAGCTTCTCTCTTTGTGTTACCTCTAAAGTAATTTTTACCTACTTTACTTTTTGCATGAGAAAATATGTTGTTGAAATTTCACATTTGAACAAATTAACTGTCTGAAACTTCCCACTTTACAAAAACCAGCTCCTTGTATTCCTGCTGATGTGGGAGTAAAAGTGGACTGCTCCAAGAATCAGGCAGTTGTGTCCTGGAGTAGCAGCAGAGGGGCTCTGTCTTACAAAGTGGTGGCACTGAGCACACAGGGAGCCAAGTCCACCTGTGACACTAAAGACACAAAGTGTACTTTGACCACCCTGAACTGTGGACAAGAATATTATTTCCAGGTGACAGCAGAGGACAATATCTGTTCAAGTTGGCCAAGCTCACGTGTTTACTTCAAATCAGGTAAAGATAATTAGATTTGCATGATGTGTGTGCATCCATGTGTCACTGACCTGCATCTTTGAGCCTGTTTAAGCGTTGGTTCAACAAGTGACTCTTAATGACATATTTTAGTTCCCTGCACGCCCAAAATTGGCTCTGTGGTTTTGGACTGCTACACCAGCTCAGCCCTTTTGGACTGGTTGAATGCTGAGGGGGCCTTGAACTACACTGCAACTGCACGCTCCTCCAGTGGCCATGTTTCAACCTGCACCACCAATGACACCAATTGTGAGCTGCAGAATCTGCAGTGCAGCCATACTTATGATGTGACCACTGTGGCCTCTGATGATCAGTGCAGCAGTCCACCAAGCACTAAGCTGCAGGTGGAATCAGGTAACCACTCAGAAGCAAACAACAAACTGACGTTTTATGACAATGATTTGCTAAAATGTACCACACTGTTTGGTAGTTAACAAAAAGTATTATGAACGGGCCTGATATAATCTTTTGCCTCAGCATCAGTTACTCTCAGAAGCTGAATGGTATCTGGTTAAAAACATACTTGGTCAACTTAATTACAACTTTAGTCATCGCCGTTTCTTTTCTTTTCTTTTACTTTCTCCAGCTCCTTGTGCTCCTGGGGATGTTGTGTTTATGTTGGACTGTGACAGTAACACTGCGCAGGTGGAATGGCAGCCCAGCTTTGGTGCCGAGTACTATGTTGTCCAAGGCTTTGGTGTGGAGGAACATGAAACTAGCTGCGAGACAAATTCCCAGTCCTGCGTCCTGTCCGACCTCAAATGTGGCTTCACCTACAACATCAGTGTGATTGCTGTGAACAGCGTGTGCAATGTGTCTCAGAGTGATGTTGAACAACTGCAAGCAGGTAAGAATCAAAAACACGATGAAGACTACATTTGGACCAAACGTTGATAATACATTTATGCAGAAATGTTTGGAACTCCATAAAGAAAAGCACTGTTCTATGAGGAAAACTGTTATACTGTATATTGCAGTCGTCGAGAATTACAATATTGTTTTTGTCGACGCATGAATTATTATTGGAGGTGACATTTTACGCAAAGCTAATAATACTTCCTTTGTGCTCTTGTAGTACCTTGTGTACCGGATCAGGTGAAAACTCAAGTGGATTGTGAGTCTGGCGGGGTGATGGTCTCTTGGGAGCCGAGCAAAGGGGCCTTGTCTTATACCACAGTCGCTCAGGGCAGCGGCGGCTCTGCTTCATCATGCAACGGCAGTGAGACAACTTGCCGGTTAAATAACTTGCAGTGTGGCCTCAACTACTCAATCGCTGTTATTGCTTCGGATGACATGTGTAGTAGTGCTGGAAGCTCTGCTGTGAACCTTAACACAGGTAGAACCAAGAACTGAATTATCTTACCAGCAGCCAACTTTAAACATTTGTATTTGAGTCACTAAATGTAAGCTCTACTAACAGTTTTTTATAATTTCTTCTTGTAGTGCCATGTGTACCGCAGAAAGTAACAGCAAGGATGATGTGTGAGAATAACACAGGCGTGGTTTCTTGGGAAGGCAAGAAAGGCGTATCTTCTTACAAGGTGCAGGCTTTCGGTCCTGATGGTCACACAATTGACTGTTACAGCACAAAAACCAGCTGCGAGCTACCCAGCATGCATTGTGGCCAGCTCTACAACGTAACAGTCACAGCTCAGGACGGACGTTGTGATAATAGCAAAGCTTACCTCACCCTGCAGTCAGGTAAATAAAAACATTTAGTTCAGAATATATACATTTTCCTCTTTCTCTCAGACTCCCTTTTAAACGGGACAGCCAGTGATAGAGCCATTGTTGCTATGGGCTTCTACAACAGCTTTCAGGTATAAAGGTTCATATGTTTACAGTGTGCAGCAATTGTATTAGTTTATATATAATTCTTAAAATACAATCTATAAATTAAAACATGATAAGGAACTACAAAGAACATCCTGAGATTAATTCCACTGTGACTAAAAACAGCCACATATTGATTTACAGTAGGTCAAGATAGGTAAATTTATTTCAGGTTAAGCTATGAATTAACTAAGGATATCAATTTCTAAAAATCTATCACTAACTATTGTAATAACCCAGTTCAAAAAAAGACCAACAAATTCTACCACAACACAAACTAAGCAACAAGGCACCATATAAGTTTTTAGTGTTTTATAAGGAAATATTGTGAAATCTCATAGGAAGTAAATTAATTTAACAGTTTATCTTGATTATAGGTAACTTGATGACAACATGGTCAAGTAAAATATGTCCTCTGGCATGAATTTTTCCTTATTCACAGTTAAATATTTACACAAATGGGCCAAATTTTTCCTCTGGTTTTATTAGTTTTATTGAAACCTAGATTGATTCTGAGTATATTGAAACTGCTTATTGACGAGGTTATTCTTAAACAATTTGCCTTTTGGGGAACTATATTAAAACACGATTTAGAAATAAGCTGTTATTTGTTTTATCATTGTTTTCATGGCCAGTATGTCCAATATTAAGCAACAAACGTTTTTTTTTTTTTTTCTCCCTACCAGTTTCTTGTAAGCCAACCAGTGTCAAAGCTTCTCTACGCTGCTACTCTAACTCTGCTGCAGTGACATGGGAGCCCCCCAGTGGAGCTCTCTCTTATGTTGCAGTAGGTGTAACATCAGATGGAAGTTACAGGACTGAGTGTAACAACACCATGGCGTACTGCGATCTGAGCAACCTGCAATGTGGACAGACGTATAATGTGAGCGTGTTTGGCCATGATGAGTCCTGTTATAGCACAGAGAGCAACAAGACCTATGTGCGAACAGGTATTTATGAGCATGTCATGGTCAAAGTTACTTTGCTGTGTGATCTTATAGAAGGTGCAAGTAAATTGAATTTGGCTCTTTTGTTTTGTCTCTCAGCTCCCTGTCCGCCCCAGAAAGTGGCTGTTGATTCACAATGTGCTGACGGTGCCATGGTTGTCTCCTGGGCTCCCAACCCTGATGTGCAGTATTTCCATGTAGCAGCAGTGAGCAACACTGGAGCGAGACTCTATTGCAACTCCAGTAACAGCAAATGCACGTTTAACAATTTGCCCTGCGGCCAGCACTACAACATCACTGTGCTGTCTGTCAGAGATGCATGCGAGAGCAAACCAAGCGCTATGGTGAAAACTTGTTCAGGTAAACTTCAGTCAACAAAAGCTAAATTCGCTGTACAGAAGTTACATGTTTTTCTTGAAGGGCAAGTTAATTTTGTTCAAGTCTAAATAGAAACAATACTCCCTTGTTTATGAGCTCAGTTCATTTGGAATAATAATTTTGTTTTTTTTTATAAAGAACTAAGTCATAATCTGCATAATTTCAAGGCACTTGAATAGTAAGATAAAAACTTTGCAACAAGTATGAGAGAAACCCAACTATTCCACTGTAGGCAAGAACAAAAGAACTGCTGCAAGAAATAAAGAAAATGTAAAAAGTTGTTGGTTTGCATAAAAAAACTCCTGCAGTATGACATAGGTGACATTTAGAATGACTGTAATTTTTTCAGAAGTTTTATCTTTTGGCCTATTGAGTGACAGTGACTGTAATTTTTTTTGTGCACAATCCATCCAGCCTTTTTCCTGCTGTTTTGATCAAAAATGAAACTACATCACAAACCCATCTTAGATAGATTTGATCACACTCTCCATCTCTTTTATCTGCAACAGCTCCCTGTGTGCCTCAACATGCTAATGGCCAGCTGGACTGCCTATCAAACAATGCCTTGGTGATCTGGGACCCTGCAGCAGGGGCAACAAGTTACTTCGGGTTGGCGCAGGCAGCCAACGGTCACAGCTCCAATTGCACTGCCTCTTCCTCACCTTGTGCAATCCCAGATTTGAAATGTGGGACACTTTACACCTTCCATGTCACAGCTATCAATGAGCACTGCAGCAGTAACCACAGCAAAACTTTTGATATTGCGACAGGTACTCATGCTACTAAATCTTTTCTTACTGGGCCATTTTGTTTAACAACTGGAAAACAAGACTGCATAATTTGTCTTGATTTTATTCAACGTTATGATACTGTTGGCATTTTATGATCCCCCCACCAATATAATGATATATGTTTGTTGATCTTTAGGCCCTTGTTCTCTTGACTCCGTCAATGCAACAAATGAATGTAACAGTGACATCATCCTGGTTCAATGGAATAAAGCAGGATCCACGTCCGCCTACCAGGTCACAGCTGAGGCTGATGATAAAACCTTGATTTCCTGTAACAGCTCGTCCAATTCATGCGCCCTCCAGGGTGCCCGCTGTGGCATGCAATATAGTGTCATAGTATCAGCTTCTTCTGACAAGTGCAGCAGCCTCAGAAGTCCTCCAACAAAAATAACCATGGGTATTTTTTCAATTTGGATATGCAGTATAGATTAATTCAAGCACTCACTGAAGTCTTCAACACATTGTTTTTTTTAGATATTTGAGGTAATTTTATTATTTCTTTAGCTCCATGTGTGCCAAGCAACGTGGCGGTGGTGTCATTATGTGGAGAGAACGGTGCTGCAGTGTCATGGGCTACATCACCTTTGGCCACATCCTATCAGCTGACAGCAACAGCGCAGGACGGACACAGGACAACCTGCAGCACCTCAATGAACAACTGCTCCCTGGCTGATCTTCACTGTAGCCAGACATACAGCCTAAGCATCACAGCCAACGGAAACAAGTGTACCAGCTACCCCAGCAACTCAACCATTAAAACAGGTAATCTTTAAATGAACTGCTTATATTTTCTTATTGAAAGAAACATTTTTAAAGGATTATGGATATCCGTTTCTGCAAATTTTATCATGTGAAAAAGCACTGTTTCTAAAAATAGATGAATTGGTCACATGATAACTAATTGGTAATGATTCTAGCCTTACTTATTGTTCATATTTTACTAAATGTGAACAGTATGTTTGAACTAGCATCTGATACACAACATTTATCAGTAAATTGTCCGTCAATTCAGAACTCTATAATGACACTGACTGGGTTGACTTAATATACACTAGACTTTTTTAATGGAGGAAAAAAAGGGGTTATATAGCTGCAAGTCAAACATGGAAATTTAATTAACTCATGCCAGTACGGATATTACCCAAATCCAACTGAACATCTTTTATTTTCATTCTCCTTGACAGGTATAGTTAATACAAATGAACTAAAATGTTAGTAAGTGAAATAAATGTCATCATCTTTCCTTCTTCTCAGTGCCTTGTGTGCCCTCCGATCTCACTGTGGATATTAATTGCCTCACCAACTGTGCCGCCTTGTCTTGGAATAGCACTAAGGGTGCTGTGCAGTATTTTGGCCGTGCACAATCTGCGAAAGGAGAAGCGTTCAACTGTGACAGCAATAATTCTTCCTGCATACTCAAAACTCTGCAGTGTGGCAACATGTACAACTTCACGGTTAAAGCATTTGATGGCATCTGCAACAGCACATTCAGTTCACCTCTGCAGGCAGGAGCAGGTAATTACTGGTTAGAAGAAAACAAAACAATATATGATGTTTAAAAGTTAAAATTTTAATTGGTATTTGAGAGTAACTAGATTTCATAGTCAAAATACTGTTTCAAACTATGCCCATGTGGAGCTTTATTTTTTAATAGTCTTCCAAAATGACCAGAAAAATACTCTCCTTTCTTCTCAGCTCCATGCCCTCCATTGTTACGGAACGTCCGCATACAAAGAATAAAACAAATGCACTGGGCCATGATAACATGGGACAAAGTCAACTGTTCAGATATTGAGTACATGGCCAAAATAAAAGGCCAAATTGGAACCAACCCACAAACTGTGATGGACGTCACGTCTTACTGGTTGTTGAGGCCGTACTTTGAGCTACCAATGCCTTGTAGCACAACTTTTAACATCACATTATTTGCCCGAAACTCTGGTGGAGTCAGCAAACCATCCAGCACCTTTTCAGGACTCACAGGTAGATTTTGTGCACAGAAATTATTATTATGGTAACGTTAAAATATTTCTATAGCAAAAATATATTTATTTCTCGTTCTGTGTCTAATGCTTTAGTCTTTATTGTTTTCCCACTAAAACCTTTATAAGCTTTTTGTTACAAAACAATAGTTTATTCAACAGTTCACATGGTTTATATAGATTTTCCTCCAGCGCTTTTGGTAACATCATTGTCATGGTTTCTCTCGCAGTGCCCTGCGCTCCACTGAGTGTGAAATACACCGGTAACAATCAGTCTGCTGTGCTGTCCTGGAATGCGTCCGTTTTGGCTTCAAGATACATGGTCTACAACACTTCAGGAGGAAACCGTGTAATCCTCTGCAACACCACCGCACTCTCCTGCCAGTTGAGCAACTTTGATCCTTTTACTACTGAAGTGACAGCTAACAACGCAGTGGGAGAAAGCATCCCCAGTCAAAACATTACAGGTCAGAAAAAACACAAAGATCTTCAGCCTACCAACAAAACATGAAAATTCTTTATCCATAAAATCATTTATTTTTTTGCTGTTAATGCAGTTTTTTTTTTTTTTTTTTATAGCTTGTATTTAGGCAACAATATTCTGCCTACTGAAAGGCTGTGAAACAACTAACTACTGTATAATAAAGAAATGGATTGCAAAACTAAAATACCCGATCATAATTTTTTTCTCAGGTCCAGTGAGTGCACGCAGACGAAGAGATCTGCAGGATACTTAACTCTATGTAGAAAGGAAAGTAAGTATAAAGATATTAGTTATTAGATGACTGAGACATACTGTTATAATTGTGATCTGTCAGCTGTTTTTCACTTGTCTGTCTCTTAGATCTTAAAATCCCAGAGGGGCTGACAGCAACGCTAAATGGAGATTCTTTGCACGTTCAATAGAAGAAAGGAGGGAGGATGAAAAGAGTGGCTGTCAAGAAAGGCAACAACCTAAGCAACTACTCCAGGCCAATGTGCAGAAACGCTGGCGCCTTGTAATAAACACAAATATTCAAATTAACTTGCATAGACTGGATAAATAAAAAAATCACTTGGGTTAAAGGCTTCTCTTCTCCACTCAATAGCATATATTACAGAACTGTTTCTTGCTTAATAAAAACAACTCTAGGAAAGTAACTGCACAAACAAAGTGATTTTTCAAATATAAAACCACAATTTTTTTCTTTTTGGGGTGCTCTGTCAAAAATGTTGATATCAAATCTGACAAAAACCTTTATATCTGAATGCCTAGCCAATTATAGCTGTTTAACAACAAGCTGTTGAAATTATTTTTGATAAAAATGGTAAAATTTTTAAGACAGGAAATTAGATTTTTTTTTTTAATGATTGTCGAAATAAGAAAATTTTTTTAAATGGGCAATTTATCAATTACCATCTTTAAAGCCACTCTGTATATTTTCTTGCTGATGTACTATAAGATTTTCTTTTGTTAACTACATATATGTATAACTGTTCCATATATGATGAAATAAAAAAAGCCCTATGAAACACGAAATGTGTATGTGTGCTCATGATTTAAGCAGTGTAGTTTTTAGTTAGATCATTAAGGTGGATCAAATAGACAATGAATTAAAAATAAAACTAGGCATATAACATGCAAGTTGCAGTATAACATATGGACGCTATTTAAAGAGGTACACCTTTTTCAGTATTAGACTTTGACACGCTCCTCCTTTATCGTGGTGGAGGAGTTTGTGCGCCTGAATGATCCTAGGAGCTATGCTGGTAGGGTTTCCCAAGGTGTATTGGTCCTAGGTGACAGGCCAGACAAAGAGTGATTCAGAAGATTTTTATGGACAAAACAAAACAAGGAACTCAGTGTCCCTTGCCCGGACGTGGGTTACTGGTACCCTGGAGCCAGGCCTGGTGACCGGGTCTCTGCCCATGGGGCCCGGTCGGGCTCAGCCCAAAGGAGCAGCATGGGTTTGCCTTCCTGTGGACCCACCACCTGCAGGAAGGGCCATAAAAGTCGGGTGCATGATGCTATGGGCGGTGGCTGAAGGTGGGGACCTTGGCGCTCTGACCTGCTTACCAAAGCTAGCTCTTGGGACATGGAATGTAACCTCTCTGGCAGGGAAGGAGCCTGAGATTGTGCGCGAGGTTGACTAGATATAGTTTTGCTCACCTCGACACACAGCATGGGCTCTGGAACTGATCTCCTTGAGAGGGGTTGGACCTTATTCCACTCTGGATTTGCCTATGGTGAGAGGCGTCGAGCTGGTGTGGGTCTACTTGTAGCCCCCGACTTGGTGCCTGTGTGTTGGAGTTTTCCCCGGTAGATGAGAGGGTGGCTTCCCTTCACCTTTGGGTGGTGGGACAAGCTCTGACTATTGTTTGTACCTACGCGCCAAACTGCAGTTCAGAGTATCCGGCCTTCTTGGAGTCCTTAGCCGGGGTGCTGGAAGGTGCGCCAGCTGGGGATTCTGCTGGGGGACTTCAATGGCCACGTGGGTAATGACAGTGTGACATGGCGAGGTGTGACTGGGAGACTGGGGTGGTGGTTCCTCTCTTCAAAAGGGGGACCAGAGGGTGTGCTCCAATTATAGGGGCATCACTCTCCTTAGCCTCCCTCGTAAGGTCTATTCAGGGGTACTGCAGAAGCGAGTCAGATCGTTGGTCGAACCTCAAATCCAGGAGGAACAATGTGTGTTACGTTCTGGCCGTGG